AGTGTAACAGACTCAAATGACAGTGTGAGCGCAGCAATGAGCTAATAGACCAACTACAAGAGAGGAGACGGGCAGAACTGACAGCTTTTCATGACTATTTTCTCTATTTTTATATGTGCATGTTATATATTTCATGATGTTTTTTTATTCAGGTCTAACATCAGTGAAAGTGCTATAAAAATGTGTTGTTTAGAGAAAATTAAGTCAAAATGTTATGTCAAAGCAAAACAACCCAGATTGTATGCCAGTAAGTTACCATTGCATAAAACCAAGTAAATTATATATCTAAATATTATCCACAAATTATTAAATGAGCAGTTTACCCAAAAATGTTAGCTGTGGGGTAAAGTGTGCCAGATGATTTTGTATAAGCTGTGTAAGTAATAGTGTTAGCAAAACGATAGATAGATAGATAGATAGATAGATAGATAGATAGATAGATAGATAGATAGATAGATAGATAGATAGATAGATAGATAGATAGATAGATAGATAGATAGATAGATAGAGACAGACAGACAGACAGACAGATAGACAGATAGATAGATAGATAGATAGATAGATAGATAGATAGATAGATAGATAGATAGATAGATAGATAGATAGATAGATAGATAGATAGATAGATTATATTTCACTACATTTAAATATTCTGTAATTTATATATTTGCACAAATTTAGAATGGAATTGTGCATTAATAAAAAGTTGTTTGTCTTATTTATGTTCAATTATCCATTTTAATATTGCCAAATCATTAAAATTTCCTCTTAACAAGACAGCTTACCCCTAATGTGGGCCGCTTTTTTGGAGAAGACATATTTATATGATCCTACATCATTTTTTTTTTTTCTTCTTTATTTCAGTTGATGTCAGACATGTTCATATAATTAGATGTATTCGTTTAACCTCTTTCCCATTTCTCCTTGCCAAAATAGTAGAGGCACAGCTTATGCCACTGTGTTTGAAAAGAAACGGCAATGCACACACAATGATCTGAAGAGAGACAGAGAAAGAGACGGAGAGGGAGAGAAAGGAGGGGAACAGAAATACAGATGGTTCTTGAGGTGTTGGCAGTTGTGTAAGTCAGTGTTCTGGGTCAGGTCAGAGAGGATCTGGAGACCACAGAGCAGGAGATGTGGATTGGGTCAGTGAGCAAGTCTGTCTGGTAAGAGGAAAGAAAAGGAGGGGTTTGGGAGGGGGGTTTGTCTGTGATGTCTTTCTGTACCCTGGAAGGAGGTTAGCTGCAGAGGAGCAGGTGTTGCCCTCTCAGTGTCCGTAGCCAGCAGCGCTTCAGCACCGCACCGAGAACCCAACTGTCATCTCTGATGAGCCAGCGTCTCCATGCTCCACATGCTTCTCACTTGGTACCACAACTCAGTCCAGCGTAACTATACAGAAAGAACATCATCTTTGCTTATATTTAACATAGTAGTAGTTAGAACCACACAGAACTTACACATTTTCATGAATTCTACACTGATTGTGAATGCTGGGAAATTATTCAGAACAGATTCAAATGTGGTAAAACTTCAAAGATCAAGGGCTCTATTATACATCTGGCGATATGTGGTGCCAGGTGCGACGAAAGTGTTTTCTGCTAGTTTCAGCCCGACACTCATTTTCACATCCTGCGGCACGTTGTTTAAACAGCAAATGCATTTGCGTCCATTTGTGCATTAATGGGCGTGCTGGTCTGAAAACGAGGTGTGTTCAGGCGCATTGTTGGCGCATTGCTATTTTGAGGCAACTGAAATAGACTGCGTCCATTGACCAACTTTAACCTGGTCTAAAGTCTATGGCGCAGTATTTTTTGTTATTTAAAGAGCGCGTAATATGCGCCTATAGGCGTGTCCACAACTGCTTATTACACACACAGGGACGCGAAGCAGCAAACAAGTACAAAACGAGGATTTGTAAAGAAGAATGTCGGAGGATTTCAATATAAGCCAAGAGGAGACTGGTTTTCCTGTGCTAAAGTAAGGAAACTTTGCTTCCTTTGCTCCTGTAAACAAACGTTGGTTTTCACAAGACTCACTGGCGCATGCGCAATGCCGACATCTTACGTCATCGTCCTGGAGCTGCTTCTGTGTACAACTGTTGGCGCAAGCTAGATTAAAGTGATTATTACATTTTGAATATGGATATTTTTCTTACAAAAATGCATCGATTCACTACAGGACGCCTTTATTCATCCGATTTTATTCATCCTCATTTATTCATTTGGACTGATGAACTGCAACACCCGCTGACTGCCATTAAACAGCTTGGAAGATCAAAGACAATTTTTTATATAACTCCGATTGGATTCATCTGAAAGAAGGAAGTCATATACGCCTAAGATGGCTTGAGGGTGAGTAAATAATGGGCTAATTTTCATTTTTGGGTCAACTATCCCTTTCAGTGGTTCAACCGTAATGGTATGAAGCTACGAGAATACTTTTTTGTGGCACTCTCGTGAATGGTGGTGCAGACTAACCAGGAAGAGAAGAAATCATTGAGTAAAGTTATTATTTTGTTTTCTTTGCCCACAAAAAGTATTCTCGTGGCATCATAAAATTACGATGTCACATTGACTATTTTAATGATGTCCTTCCTACCTTTCTGGCCTTGAACATGTCAGTTGCGTTACTATCTATACATGGACAGAAAGCACTCGGATTTCATCAAAAATGTCTTATTTTGTGTTGCGCAGATGAACAAAGGTCTGACGCGTATGGAACGACATGAGGGTGAGTAATTAATGACAGAATTTTCATTTTTGGATGAACTGACCCTTTAAGTAGCCGTTTTTGGAATACATAACCTGTCAACAGCATGCGCTAAAACTAACAAAAATTATCCTGTTATGAACATATTTGAGGGGTGGGGGGTAGACAGTTTGACTTGACCAAATTTAATGTGAATGCATGATTTCTGCAATGCATAATTTTAACTTTTTATCCAACAATAATAAGCTTACAAAAATATAATATTAAGAACAATTCAGTGGACTGTGATAATATCCTCATATTATGTAAGAGTATAATAATCAGAAAGAAAAACAAAATAATCCTCCAATAATTAAGACAAAAGATGTATACCTAAGTGCTGCCACCATTACATTCAGGGTGAAA